TATAAATATATAATAAAAAATAAATAATAAATAAAGTTAAAAATGATGAATAAACATTCACTCACCTCGAAATCTGGAATTAACACGTGCAATTGATTAATAAATTCTCTCTAGTCTTGTTGACAGCTTTCTAAGAGACTTTTGACAAGTACTTGGAAGTGAGTAAAATATTATTTGATAATTTTTTCGAGTCCTTTGAGATGCCTCCGAAAATTGTTTTATTTAAAAGAATTTTATTCTCTTTTATTAAAAAAAAATCCTTTAGGAACCAACAAAACCGAGATGACTCCTTGAGAGCGACCGAGCGACAACTGTCGCAAGCTGGGCTCTCGGACCGATCGGGCCTCACGTAGATAGATATCCGTACTAGTAACTCTACCGGCAGGCGAACAGTAAAGTAGTAGGGATATCACGGTTAAAAGTGGCGAGTGCATGAACACAAACAACGAGTCCATGCGTAAAATGTGTATGTACATACTCGTTTTGATAAATAAAGGTTAATTGCGCGAGGACTTATACTTCCGGAAAATTGGACTTATACTGCCGATAAAATTACAGTCAATCTGAGCTTCAAGATAAATTTCGTATAAAATAAAAAATTCTTTTAAATTCTTTTGAAGAATAATTTAAGCAAGATATTCACGAAAAACCTGGATTTTAAGAATTTAAAAAGTTTCTGACAGAAAACTTTAAATTCTATTTAAATAAAATTAATTTTGAATAAACAAAAAGTTAGTAATATATTTAAAAGAATGATTCATATAAATGTAAAAATTATTTCTGTAATTATTTAAAAAATAAAATTTATTTATCTTTCGCAGTAAACAATGACATCGATAAAATTATTATCTACGAAAATATTATGTTTGTAACGTTGATAAGATTATGAATGGAAACTTCAGTTTTAGAAAATAATTAAATAAATATCAAATCCTAAATAACGATCTTTTTAAATTTCAAGAAAATTTTATTTAAATATTTATCTGTTGTGAGAAGTATATTTTAATCTGGAATACATTTGTACTTTTTGAAATGTAAAATTACTCGATTTCTTTTTCTGGAGAAACTACGTAATACAAAACAGCTTGTTTTTTATTTAGGCTTGTTTCCGATTCACCTCTTAGCCTTCGTGTCACAATCTTTTTTATTGTCTACTGTGAAATACGATCGATTTGGGAAGTTAGAAAAGAAAGGAGCGAAACTCGTTTTAAAATGATTACATCGCCTGAAATATTTAAAAATCTGATCCGATAAAAAATACAAAGTACCGTACAATATTTTAATGTAACTGATATTTTTGTATTAATCAATCATTAAACATAAATCAAAATACATAAATGTAAATGTTCAGACATTCTAAATGATTTTCAGCGGAGATGCGGAACGAAGGGGACGCACGGCACAGTTTTTGTGATAACAAATAGCCTTTTTGCCTTTAGCATTCTTTCGATTATACCTTTCCTGAGACGTGTAATCGGAAATGGTGTTTTCCCGGTAGGAAAAGGAAAGTACGGTTTCAACGGTACTTCCTTGCGATGCACGCGATGCATAACGAAGGGGGGATCACCTAAGCGCGACGACTACTCTGAAGATGATGAGTTCATTGTAGGCTACGATTAAATTCTATGATTTAATTTCTTTTTGTTAATTTTCCATTTATCTTTTTTTTTATATTATATTTTTGGGACTAATATTTTTTAATTGCTAAATTTATTTGTAAAAGTAATGAAGAAAAAAGTAGATAATTAGAAGAAGGTGATTAAATTATGATTAAATTAGAAAACTAATGTAATTTTTAATAAAAATATCAAAGAATTGAAGAAAAATGCTTTATAATATTTTTATTTCAAAATTACATTATTTTCCAGAATAAGAAAAATAAATTTCAAATATAAAAATTTCTTACATGAAATATTGTCAATATTTATAAAATATTAATATCATTTTGCGCAGTATTCTTCTTTTGTCTTATTAAACTAATTGTGCGAGTAAGTCAAGTACCATTAAGACAATTGATGTATAATTGATGGCATTCAGAAAACGCGGGGGCGATGATAAATGTCGTGCGACGCAAGAAAATGTTAAGTATGCCATTCTCTTGATTGATTTGTGTAATCCGAAACGCGATTCATCTCGCACACAATTATCCTTTATGTATATTCATTGATGATCGCGTTCGCGCAAGTTTGAATAGCTGATAGATATAAAATTCATGATGCTCACTTAATATCTGAAAAATTTTTTACAAAATTGACTGTAATTTTGTTTTGAACACTTTTCAAATGCAGTTGTGAATAATAAAAATTAAATGTATGTGTAATTTGTAAACATATCAAAAGATTCTGTCTGCATCCGTTCGCACGATGATTGTAACCGCGACAATGATGCGGAATTAACACGCTGTATTTTATCCGCCATTGTTTCTAGCCATGATATTCTAGTGAGACGCAAAATTACCATGAATAAGCTAATTAACCATTGGAGGAATTAAATAACGTCGGTTCCGAACAAAGCGTTCCTGCAAGCTTCGTATTATTTCGTTTAAAGCGCGGAACTATAATTACACCATGTTGCAGAGAGAGAGAGAGAGAGAGAGAGAGAGAGAGAGAGAGAGAGAGAGAGAGAGAGAGCACAATTATGTAACATGGAATGGCAGCGTGCTTGGGGCTGCATAATGCAAACATGATGGCGCATATGTCGCGTAAGAGAGTCGTATTGTTAGAATTTGTTGTCATTGCTGCAGCTGAGTTCTTGGCCATGTTGTCATCTGGGCGCTGAATCAAGGTTTATGCAGCTCACCTGCAAATGTGCATATTTATTATAACACTGTGGCAAGCGAGACTGACAGGGGAGAAAACTAAGAGAAACTCGAGAACTTTTATGTTAGGGATAATAAAAAGTATCTATAAAGTAATTAAAAGTATTCAAAAAGTAATTACAAAAGAGAAATATCAAGATAATAAGAGAAGAATTAGTCAACAGAGATAGAATAAATTTGTTGATAAAATAATAAAGTTTAAGGAGGTAAATTTAATAATTAATTCCATGAAATAATATCTATTTGCTGCGAATCAATTGCTTAAATAACAGATTTGTTGTAAATGATATATTTGAAATATAGAGTTGAATAGATAAAATAATAATGCGAATTCGGTAACACCAGACACGATTCTGATTTGTTCGACCAAAAGCAGATGAATCATCTTATGTTTCTCGAATACATACATTCCGCGAAGCGGTACGACAAGATCGTCATCGTCATCGTCGAGTCATTACCGCTTTTTTTTCACGTGACAGTTGTACGCTGTTAACCGTCTACTACCTCATCGTTTTGTCCTTCCAACATGTCTCACACACATTCTTAGTTGAAGTTTAAGAAATGTGTGTGAGACATGTGTCAACGTTTTGTATTCTAACAAATTTAAAAACGAGTTGTATTTTAATTCTGTTTTATAACAAATATATATAAAGTATATATGTTTGTAATGTTATAAAAAGTAATGAAAGAGAATCAATTTAATTTAATATCAATAATATTAAAATTAAGTAAATCATTAATCAATATATTATATTATCATAAATATGTATTAAAATTCATTTAAATCAGATCAATAATTTAAAAATTAGATATTAATATGACATATTATAATATAATATTAAAAAAATTAAATGTAGAGTTCGAACCTGCAAGGTGACGTTTTAAAAACATTTTATTGACATCATTAAGACGTCATTTTTGACGTCACCTTAATTATTACTTGGGATAGTGGCGTTTAAAATCGTAGCTAAAACATGTGGGTAGATTATTACTCTTGATTGCCGATCGTTTTTATATCAATAAACTTATCATCAATGAACCTCGCACGTGGACAAAATTCTTTTTTTCATTCTCTATCCGACTTTGTCGCAGCACTCTAGATTCAATTTAAAGTCATTAGATGAATCATCAAATATTGAAATTAAAATGACTATTTTGAATTAAAATCGGATAACGTACATATATTATTATATGTAACTTATGAATACAAATACAAATGCATAAGTTTGATTGTATCGCGTTTTGAATCAAAATGGCGAACAAATTGCATATTAACTCGAAAAAGTTGCCTTGATCGCAATAAGATCACGATCGATATTTCCTTGCATATGAATCGAGATCTGGATGTCATCGCATTTACTTGTCCATAAAGAGTTTCACGATAAAGAATATTTGTAACATTAGTCATTGAATTTTTTACATACATTTATCATATATTTTCTATATTCTTGTCTTATAGTTTTTATTTAATAGTTATTACTGTTATTTTATTTAATTCGCTTAATTTTTCATATTTCCCCGTTTTATATCTACTTCTTAATTTATATTATAAATTCTACGATTTCATTAAATTGCGGTGTAATTTCTGATTCAAATGGATTCAGGTAACAGATGCAAGTTTATATGATCCAAAACAGTTTCGCCAGGCACTGTTTTATGTTGGATTTTAAGGAGACAGCTTGAAGGAAACCAGGCATCCGAACACGTGTCAATCTTCGTTTTATTTCAAAGAAACTAGGCGTGCATGAGATTGAAAGATCGACTTGCATTATTCTATCTAGATTGCTGCAACATGAAATCGTAAATATCCAGAAATAAATTTGCACGCCAATTAGAGCGACAAAGAAATATTTGCCTCTCAAATGAATTTGTACTTCGTCATAACGTTTGAAGATATAGATATGGACTCTTTATGTCTACTGAAAAGGCGATGTTATGGTTCGACGTAAATATCTCTTTAGGCGAATGATTAAAAATTTTTTTGTGATAGAGACAAAACATGGCGTTTTTCACAGATTGGCGTATAATTATGTGACTTCCGCGAGTTTTCTTGTGGCGCGTCGCAAACCAATCGTTACGGGTGCAAGAAACTGCAGGTATGACGTATTCCATGTTCATCGCGCCCATCGGTTGACCTCACGTATGCTAATTGTCGCGATTTTATCTGCACGCGAACTCACCATATTGCCATAATGCCAGTCAACAGCTACGAAATAGAACACCAGGAAAAATTGCAAAGGAATTGAGAGACTTGATATCAATTTTAATAACTCAAATCTTTCGTCTGATCTTAATCGCAAATTTTGAAAATGATACAGTTAAGATTTTTTACAAAGGCATTTTGCAACATCGAAAATTAATTTGTTAATTAATTATTATTTTAACTAATTAATTATTAATTTTAACGATTAGAATACAATAGCTTTGAAGAAGAATGGTTATATGTTATGCGTATGAAGTTAAATTAAATTGATTCAATTTAAAG